CACCGATGTCGGTCCGTTCAGCTACTCATCGGCCTCAACCGTCGATATGCTCAAGCAGAGGGTCGTCTCTGATTGGCCCAAAGGTTTTGCCCTTGCCACTCGTCCCTTTTTACTACTTTAATTTCCATGTAATTTTGTTTGCTATGAAGTTTTTCGATTTAATTTGGTTCGAAATTTCGGAATTTTGATTCTGATTTGGGGGTTTATGTCAATCTGGGTTTGAAATTTTAGTTATTGGCAATCAGAATGTTAGCAAATTTTGATAGAATCTGTTCTATTAATCTTGAGCTAGATTTATTAATAATTAGATGAAATCTCAACACAATTTTGATTTGGGCAATCAGAATTTTGGTAGAAGTTGTGGATTCAGTCACAAATTTGTAACTTTGGCTCTTTTTTTTTATATGATTTTCACTGTGTTTTCAGCTTTGTTTGATTTTCCTGGATTGCCCTTTTGATTGTTTGGTAGGCAAGACTATGACGCCGAAGACGGCAAATGAAGTGAAACTGATGAGTTTTGGCAAGATTTTGGAGAACAACAAGACAGTGGGTCAGTGTAAATTACCTTTGGCTGATATTGGTGGGGGAATTATCGTAATGCATGTTGTTGTACAGCCAGCTATCGAAAAAGCTAAAACAGGTAATGTTTCCATTACGATCTTAATCTCGAAAAATTACTTGTGGTTTGTGAAAATTTCATCAGTTTGATTTCCGTAAATGAAACTCTATGTTGGAAAATGATATGCTTCTGGTCATTTCGATATCTTATTTTTGGGTGGAAGTCCTGTTCATAGACGAAAAATGAATTCTAGTTTGGGTAGAGTGGGTACTGGATTGATAAATGCAGCCTTTATACCTCGAGAAATTAATTTCAAGAGGAAAATATGTAAAATAAAATTGGAACAGAAAGTTAACGTGGACGTGGTCATTAGCATTTGGTTTGAGCCTATGAGAAGGTTTTGCTTTCTTTATTCTGCTTCATAAGATGATATACCTTCAGTGTTATTGGTGACGTGTGTAATGTCCCTGAAAGAAGAGTGACCCAGGCTATGGTATTAGAGCAGATTCCAGTTTAAAGAAGGTGTAATGCAGACAACAGTCGACGAAAGATAGCCATTTTGATTATGACCTTATTTCTTCCTTAGGATGCACAATTAACATTCCGAGAATGGAGAGGTGCATATAGTATAGCATCCTTACTGGATATAGCTACCACTGTGTTCGTTGTTCTTCATTTACTAATCTTAAGAGTATAAGAATAATCGGGAACATTTTATTGGGATTATTTAGGTTAAGTTGTGTTGTGTTACATTCCTTTAATGATTTTCTGAGCATGAGATTCTAATAAAATTATCATCGTTATTTTCTGAACAGAAAAGAAGATTGATGATCTGCCCCGGAAAGTTGTCTGCTCGTGTTCCATATTATGAAAAAACTGTTTGAGGTTGGGATTTGATGACCTGGGTATCAATCCCTTGGTACAGAAACCATCCTCGGGTCATACGCGTGTTCATTGTTATTGTAGCATCAACGTGTACATGTTGTGATGTGTGTACAGAAAACCATGTTGTTGGTGATTTCAGTAGTTTCAAGGCTCTTGTGTTCCACCACACGGGTTGCTCGCCTTACTTGTTTCCGGTTTGGTTCTTGCCTTGTTCCTCTGCCTGTCTCTGTGTAAATTGCTTGAATGATTGTAGCAGTAATGGAAAGCTGTATAGACCTTGTTAATGCAAATAACAACATTTAAACTACAAGTAGAAATGCCTAGAACTTTTCTCCATGGCAGCTATTTCGGATATCTTCATGAGTATGTGCCAAGCTTGTCGATCCAACCTTCCTCTAGCAGTCCCCTGTGAAATCTGGCAAACTCTGAAACTGTATACAGGCTCTTCGGTGAAGAAAAACCCGAAAATCGCGCATTGCATCCCCTGCCCTCTTCCCAGCATCTAGGATACCTTGAATGAGATCACCTGCGATCTTATTCAGGCATTCGTAAATCGTAACTTCCCGGGCTCCTGCAACCTCTTAAGGTTTGAATCCCGGCTGTCATGGTCAATGGATTTCCGATGAAGGTCCCGGGAAACATAAATTCAGTTCACTTGCATTAAGTAGTGTGCACGGAGTAAAACGTAGAAGTTGTATCGAGGGAGTTTTGGCATTTTATATGAAGGTTGTTTTGAATGCTTTCTATTTTTATTGGGGTGTGCTATCCACACATCTCATTTTACTTCTCACACACCCCTTGATAATTTTTGTCCGTTGATCTTCTTCAATTCATTCGATCCGACGGTCAAAAATTAAAAAAGTGTGTGAGAAGTAAAATAGAGTGTGTAGATATCACATCCCTTTTAATTAAGCATATTTGAGTAGGGATAGATTTTTTTTTTTTTTTATTGATTATTTATTTGATTAGTTGGAACATGTGATTGGAAGATTATTAATTATCCAACCTGAAATAGGCTGCTGGTCTGCTGTCCTGTTTTAGTGTCTTCTCTATGTTTTTTTTTCCAATCACTTGACACGTGTCTACCCACTTAGGGTTGGTTTATGATTGCGGTGCTTTCAAAAACAGCAGCTAATTAAAAAATTTGAAACATTAAATGTTTTTGGTAAAACACAAAAAACAAAAAATATTTTTAAAAAAAATTGTTGTCAATAAAAGTAAAAAAATATAGAATCTTTACCCCCATATATTTTACAAAATTACAATCTTTACCCCATCAATGCTTGTTTAATGAAATTTTCAAATGGCAAGTATACCCCCCACATATTTTACATATTTGACAATTATTATATCACATTAAATATCATATCATTTTTAATCATTTAATATATTCAAGGCAATTTATAAAAAAGTTTACTAAACACTCAGATATTGCTTTTTATTTTATTTTATTAAGAGTACTTTTACAAAAAAAAAAAGTTTACAAAACACTCAACAATTTTATTTTACAGCTGTTTATTCTCACATCACAGCAGAAGTAGTTTTTTTAAAAACACAAAAATATCAAACTAGCCCTTAACCAATTAATTAACACGGTTAAGTTTTAATAAATATAAAGGAAACTTGATAGAAGTCTAATTTTTTGAGTCAATAGTAGGAATAGTCTGGTTTATTAAAATAAGTCCAATTTTTATATTTAATTATTTAATTATCAATGTCACATCCCCGCCCAGGCCCCCACCACATTCCTGGCTTGACTCCATCGTAGCACGATATTATCCGTTTTGGGCCCCGACTACACCTTCACGGTTCATGCCTTGATTTTAGTCGGGGTGTGTCAATCAATAATTATCTTTTCAATAATAAGATTTAGTATAAAATTCAAATTTCTTCCCAATTATTCCAACCCCATTTGATTTTATTTTTAATTTTTATAATCAACATATATCACAGGTTAATTGTATTTATCTATCTATATGATAGATTCATTTTTATAATCAACTTATCACAAATTAATGTGTCTTACTTGTAGGTATGTTATGTTTTTTTCTACTTTTTAGGGTAGACTGTTCTGCAGATAGATTTATGTTAGTATATTAGTTTTTTTATTATAAGATATTAATTAGACTTTTTGGAGTTGGAAAATACATAATTTGAGAAGATTTTAATTGATTTTTAATATTTTTAGAAAATATAAAATGAGTATAAAAGAAATAAAAACATATAATTAGATAACTAGACTTATTCCTAAAAACATTTTATGTTTTTGGACCTGAATCTAAAAGTCCTTTAGACCATTTCCAAATGAAATGTCAAATTATAAGAATCAAATTACAATTGATGGTTGATGTGGCAATTTGAAGTCTTATGTCAAATTTTGTATTTATCCAACCGAATTGTCAAATATTATTTTATTATTAAATAGAGCTTTAAATGATTGTAATTATTAAAAAAATGTTGAAACAAAATTTTTATTGGTTGAAATGTTAGTGGAATAAGGAATCCACTATTAAAATGAATTAAAAATAAATTTGACATTGATGTCAAATTTGAGATCAAATCACTAAGCCTTCAAATCTAATCAGCAAATAACATTTCGGTTGAAGAAACTTTTGATGTCAAATATGTACAGTGACATTACACCTAGGATTTTAGCATCCCGTTCGAAGATGCTCTTAATACATAAAAAATAATACACATTGATTCCTTCTTTTTTTAATAATTAATGGCCAAGGAAGTAAAAGAATCTAATCGAACTAAACTGGAGTCGGACGAATCCAATCAATCGCACTAAATCAGAATCGACGAATTGAATCGTCTCCAATTCAAACAGTCGCCTATTGAAATCCAATTGAATAAATATCTGTTCTTTTTCCATTGACAAGGTTGGAGAGACAAAAGGAGGGAGAGGAGGCTTGCCGGCGACGACGGACACAGCGACGACGAGAAAAGTGGTCGATGCGGATGAGTTGGTGGCGAGGAGGTTTGGCATCTGTTAACCAATCTCAAATGCAATCAAGCACATAATGTAATGCATGCGCGAGAGCGACAACATGAAAAATGGATTAGGTGAACGCAGATTGAACAATTTGCCGCTCTCCCATTGAATGGGAAACTTTTATTCCAATTTTTTGGAGAAGGTTTGATTGATCAGCATACAAGATCGCCCTGAGTGCGTAAGAGTAAAAGAGAGTACAGAAAACCGTAGATAACGAAGAAGTCCGCGATTGTATAACGAAGAATTCCGAGATTGTTTCCTAGCTTAAGATTCGTCATGATGAACAGTAAAGATTGGTTTGGTATTGCTTTGATTTGAAAAAAAAAACTACTTCTGCTGTGTGTGAGAATAAACAGCTGTAAAATAAAACAGCAAAGTGTTTGGTAAACTTTTTTGTAAAAGTGCTTTTGAAAAAAAAAAAAAAAGTATTATAATGTTTGATAAACTTTTATGTAAAACAAATATGAAAAAAAGATAACTTTTCAAAGTTGGGTTTTGCAACTTTGTGTTTTTGGCTTTTTTTCATCCAAAATTGTGAAAAAATGTTGAAGCTGGATGTTTACCAAATATAAAAAAGCTCTAAGCTTTTTTTTTATAGCCACTTTTTTCAAAATCACGTACCAAACTAGGGCTAACTAAGGTACGAAAAAGTTCAAATGATAAACAACTCTCTCCAGATCACCTACAACTTTGACAACCCTGCAACAGGGGAAAATAAACAAAACGAAACGTGAAAAGAGGAAAATAATAGTACAGAGAAACGACTTGGTTTCTAAATCTGCCTAAAAACTCTATCAGCAGCAGCTATCGTGTTTTGGATGTCCTCCGGAGTATGTGCCAAGCTTGTAAACCCAGCCTCGAACTGTGACGGAGCAAGGTATACACCTTCCTCCAGCAGTCCCCTATAAAACTTTGCAAACTTTGCAATGTCACTCTTTTTCGCGTCCTCAAAGTTGTACACAGGCCCTTCAGTGAAGAAAAACCCGAACATGCCACTTATGTACCCACCACACATTGCATGCCCAGCCCTCTTCCCGGCTTCTATGATACCTTGAATGAGTTCACCTGTGATCTTATCCAGGTATTCATAACTTCCTGGCTCCCTCAACCTCTTAAGGGTATGAATCCCCGCAGTCATTGCTAATGGATTTCCACTCAGGGTCCCGGCTTGGTACATCGGTCCTGCTGGTGCCACCATTTCCATAATCTCCCTCCGTCCACCATATGCACCGACTGGCAGTCCACCACCAATGATTTTCCCGAGTGTTGTTAAATCAGGAGTAATGCCAAAATACTCCTGTGCTCCACCATAAGACAAGCGGAATCCAGTCATCACTTCATCAAATATGAGGAGAGTATCATTTTCTTTGGTGAGCTTGCGGATACCATTAAGGAAATCGGATTTGGGAGTAATGAAGCCAGCGTTCCCAACAACGGGTTCAAGGATGACTCCAGCAATTTCTCCTTTGTGATTTTCAAAAAGAGCTTCCACAGCCGGCAAGTCATTGTAGGGGGCTGTTAGAGTATCAAAAGTGGCTGCCTTCGGAACACCAGGTGAGTCTGGAAGTCCTAGTGTGGCCACTCCACTACCAGCCTTGACAAGGAATGGATCAGCATGACCATGGTAACAGCCCTCGAACTTAATGATCTTCGGTCGGCCAGTGTATGCACGGGCCAAGCGGAGCACACCCATGCATGCTTCAGTACCTGAGTTCACAAATCGAACCATTTCAATGCTTGGAACAGCCGCGATCACAGTTTCTGCCAGAACATTCTCTAGAAGACAAGGTGCACCAAAGCTAGTTCCCTTCTTCATCGTTTCAGCCAGAGCTGCAAGTACCTGAAGGTAAGTGTCAATCCAAGATAGTGGAGCATATATAATAACAATTTCTGCTGCTACCAGAGAGGCATCCGAGTCAAACAGCATACGAATGAGGGTTCAACAGACATCAATCTGTGGTTCTTTTCCTTTCTATTTTCTTCCTGAGAGAGGATTTCTAACTTGAGATCATCTAATACTAAGAAATCTATTTCAATTTACCCTTTCTGAAGTAAGATATTTTTTTCTTCTAGTTATCTTGTTTTCTTCTCAACTGAGTTCAATAAATTTGAAGTAAGACCATTGTCATAAAATACGTAAGTTCCTTGGGACAAATGCATACGCACTATAACAGAAACAAAATTTCTATGACAGTCAACCAAAATATACTCCAGAACAAGGACACGGACATTGTGAACTGATAACAGAATCAAGACCCGTCAACAGAATTAAATGTTTCAAGATATAGTGAAATACATGATAGATTACACAGATAGAGTGAAACCTCATCATCTGCATGCCCGATTATAGCAGGTCCCCACGATCCCACATAGTCGATGTACTCATTTCCATCTATGTCCCACATGTGAGATCCCTTAACAGAATCCATCACAATAGGTTGTCCACCAACAGACTTAAAAGCCCGAACAGGGGAATTTACACCTCCAGGCATCAACTCCTACAAAACAAAAACAATTTCCATCAGCTGAAACAACATTCTCTATTAGACATCAGATGACAAATGAAAAAGTTCAAATGCCGCATATGACGAACAATAACCAGACATTGAATGCATGACTACAAGTGCATTTCCGAGCAGAAAGAACAATACTTGGCTACTTAAAGATGAGTAGGAACTCCTACTCAATTTCTTAAAATTGTTCATTGTCTATTTGTAGAACTTTGTGTTTATAATAAGAACTGTTCATATTATAAATCATCCTATAAAGATCGCCTCTGCAAGAAATCAATTAAAACTAAGGTCGTTTAGTCATCCAACTGTTTAAAAACAAATGAACGGCATTGGTAAAAGCATTACAAACCGTCTATGTATTTGCTACAATAGATTAACTAAACGAACTTGATTATAATTTATTTTTTGCAGAGATGATATTTACATTGTGATTCATAGTATGAACGGTTCTGGTCATAAGCACAAAGGTTTGTGATTAAAACACTAAGAGTTTTGAGTAGGAATTCCTACTCATCTTTCAGTAGCCAAGTATTGTTCGAGCAGAAATACAAACAACAAAGCAACATGACACTGAAAAACTATATACATTCTAGATCAGAGGTGCAAAAACCAAATATAATCATCCATTCAACATGAACATTAGTGTACCGATCGCCTTTCTGATAACTAATAGATTTGATTTCAGAACCTCAAACAGCTCGAATTGAACAGTCCAAACTTGAATTCCACAGCTTTTTAAAACATCATCAAGATTAAAGCTTTCAGCACGTTCCTGTGTAATCTCAAATCCTCTAAATTTCTATATTTCTAAGACAAACCCACATCTCCAAATCATCCAAAATCCAACCATTTCAAACCAATCCAAACTTCCTCATACTCCAACGGTTCACTACAACTCCACAAACCACTCGCTCGAAACCCACAACAACTATTACAATAAAGCACAGATTGGGTAAAATGGTAATTGTACCTTGGCGGCATTGAAAGCCTGCTCGGATTTTTCGAGAGTGAAACTCTTCTTCTTCTCATCGAGGGAGACGGCCATCTTGACGGTGCAGAACCGCCGGGACGATTGCGAAAACCGCGAGGTGGGTCTCTGAGAGAGCTTCGGAGTCGAGCAGGAAAGCCCGACGGCTGCCCCGGGGATTGTGTTCGCCATGGTTGCTCTGAATCTCTCTCTCCCTCCTCTATCTCGTGGAGTTGTTTGGATGAAGAAGATAAAAGTGAGAGAAGAAAATTAGACCAGGACTTTAGACAACGGATTACGTAGGAGATGCAAGCCATGCGGGTCGGGTTGGTTTTTCGGATTGTTAGAAGTTTACTTGGGCTTCAATCCTAGCCGGCTGACGGGCTAACCCACCAACCCCCCAACCCAACAAAAAAAAACCCAACTAGGCAAGTACGACCTTTTTTATTGGGTTTGGTGGAAATTGGAGATCAATGAAATGGAAAATCCAAGTCCAACAAGTAAATAAGGAATAAAATAAGTTGCTTCAAAATTAAAATCGAGTCATCTATTACGATATGGCGATATTCCTTTTCTTATAGATATAACTTACTTTTATAAGCCATGCAATGTGTTTTTTTTTTAATGACTTTTTAATTGTTCAATTTAATTTTGTGTAACGGCACTTAGTTTTTGATAAGTTATTTGTATCTGTATGACTATATATACGTTAGTCAAATACTAAAACTTCTCATCACAACTCCAATTTTATTACAAGTAAACTTCATTTTTACATATTTCACAGTAATAAAAATAAAAACAAAATGCAAATATTCCATGCCTAATCTATAGGGCTTCACGATCCTTATAAATGTGCTTGCAAATTAATCTCATATGACGAAGGCATCATAAACAATTATTCCAATCATCCAAGGGAAAGTAAGGCCATTTCTAACAGAAAGCTGACCAGAGGGTTCGTTTTAGCCCTCTAGCCCTCCAAGAAATTAAATTTTAATGAACAATACAGGGTCATATTTGCCTCAATCTCCAATCGAGGACCAAAAGTCATAGGACTCGTTTTAGCCCTGTCACAAAAAACAGTTTCCAACCGAGGGCCAAAGGGTCATAGGGCCAAACATAATTTATTATTTTAAAACTACAACTTAAATTCAAATCCAACGGCTAAGTGACATCAACATGGAGTAGATGTTTAAGGTTGATGTTGTTAAATGTTTTTAAAAATGTTGTTTAAGTTTCATGTTGTTAAATGTTTTTTTTTTATGTTGTATAATTTTTATGTTGGTTAATGTTACTTAATGTTGTTTCATATTGTTTAATGTTGTTTCATGTTACTTAATTTAATTTAATGTTGTATAATGGCTTAGGAAGTTATAGGAAAAAAAATAGAATTTAAAAAAAAATATGAAACAAATTTTGTTAAATATAAGTTATAGGAAGTTATAGAAAAAGAAATAGAAGTTATAGGAAAAAAAAAATTTGTAAATAAAAAAAAATTCAAAAATAAAGGCTAGCTGATGTCAGCTAGCCGTTGCATTTGAAAATTTGGCCTAGCATTCTTGTCGGTTATATCAGACAGGAATGCTCACATTTCTGGCCAGCCCGGGGCTGGCTGGATTGGGCTAGCCCTTTGGCCCTTTCAGACTCCGTGGGACCCACGAGCCCTCTGGCTTAGCCCTTTGTTGGAGATGGTTTTCAGGCGTTTTTCAGCCCTTCTGGATCCTTCGGTTGGAGATGGCCTAAGGAATTGAAGAAGAATGAGCCTTATAAAAATAACGAATAACCAAAGTAGAATTAGTTTCTATCCAAATATGTTTTCAATCTTGAACCCAAGCAACTCGAATTGCCGCAATGAAAGTTAAAATTTCAAGAGGCATTTTGATATAGATGCCTCAAATTTGAATTTTTTTTTAATCAAACATCTATAACTTTTAAACTTTTGATCAAACATTCTTCTACTAATTTTTAATTAAAAATTATGATTTTTATTGTATTTAATTAACCAACTAGTTCAAAAAATATATCACAAATATCTAAAATCACCACAACATCCTATCTTATCATATCATAATTCGTTATTCAAAATGAATTTTTCTTATTGAAAAATTGTTGTTTTAAATTCTAAAAACACATAAACATCCTATTAACATACAATTATGAAATATAAAATGCACATATATTAAATATAACGTACTAAACAGATATATTAAATATAATGTACCAATCATTTGGACGTTATTGGTACGTTATATAAATTTAATCTGGGTACGTATTAGTATTTTGGTATGTTATAAAATATTGCTTTTGGTACGTTATGCAATTCTTTATTTAGTACGTACCAAGTTATTAGTACGTTCAGATCCTTATTTTGGTACGTACAAAACTTATGGTACGTTATGTGTAAGTTGTGTAACCCAAAAAAAAGATAACTTTTCACTTTAAAACATTGCACTAAAAATTATTTTGTCAACTCTTAATAATTAATTATTGGAATAAGGACTCATTTTAAATAAAATAAAAATGTGAAAACTCTTTGTCACATCCCCGCCCGAGGCGAATCACTTCCTAGGCCCGCTCCACCACCGTAGCACGATATTGTCCGCTTTGAGCTTACCATTTCCTCACGGTTTTGTTTTTGGGAACTTACGAGTAACTTTCCAGTGAGTCACCCATCATGGGATTGCTCTAGCCCCTTTCTCGCTTAACTTCGGAGTTCCAACGGAACTCGAAGCCAGTGAGCTCCCAAAAGGCCTCGTGCTAGGTAGGGATGGGAATATACATATAAGGATCACTCCCCTGGACGATGTGGGATGTCACAATCCACCCCTCTTAAGGGCCCGACGTCCTCGTCGGCACACACGCGGCCAGGGTAGGCTATGGTACCAAATTGTCACATTCCGACTCGAGGCGGATCACTTCCCGGGCCCGCTCCACCACCGTAGCACGATATTGTCCGCTTTGGGCTTACCATTCCCTCACGGTTTTGTTTTTGGGAACTCACGAGTAACTTCCTAGTGGGTCACTCATCATGGGATTGCTCTAGCCCCTTTCTCGTTTAACTTCGGAGTTCCAACGGAACCCGAAGCCAGTGAGCTCCCAAAAGGCCTCGTGCTAGGTAGGGATGAGAATATACATATAAGGATCACTCCCCTGGGCAATGTGGGATGTCACACTCTTAGTTCACGTTTCTACTATAAATAGTTGTTAAAAAATTCAAATTTATTTTCAGTTGCATGAAATTAGGCAGTCTAGTCTACATCTCAATTTTAATTATAAACGACTCTTGTTTTTTTATAATCTATAAAAAAATGTTGAGTTGGAAATTGGAAAAACTATATTTCATCTAATTAATCTTGAACCCTAGTATTTATAATTGAATCCTTAAATTGAGGAAGGGATGAGATTCCATAAAAATAGCAATAAATTAATGAATATTATTGAGTGCATTTTTTTTTTTTACATAGAAATGCATTTAAAAGAATTTATAAAATACTTAAATTAAGAATATACCTGAAATATAAAGTTTAATTAAAAGTAAAAACACTTTAATCAAAAGTTGAAAAGTAACAGATGTTTAATTTAGAAAAATCTAATACGAGACATCCAATTCTAATTTATCCAAATTTCAATAGCCACATAAACTAACAAACTTCTTATTTGAGGCAAAAGCACCAAGTACATGCCCCTCCAAATTACGAAAAATACCCCAAAACCTGCTCTACCATTAGCACAAGAACCATCAATTTTATCCTTCAACCTAATCTACTCCTAGTTTACACAATCACAGTTTAATGTAAAAACCATTTTTAGCGTCATTCCCTCTATGATTATTATGTAGTATCATAACATTTTATATGAAAGATTACCAAATGCTAAGTTTGTTTTTCGCACTTATAACGCTTTAAGATTACAATTTATCAGATCATCAATTGCTTTATTCACAGTATGAATAAAAGCATCCAACAGTACATTATTTTTTTTCTTCATGATTTTGTGCTACCCAATACCCATGGTGAATAATATCGAAATCATAAGGATGAAAGTAGATACAAGTTACAATTTATTTTTTTTTTACTAGCAATTTTGCATTCAAAACTCACAACCAGTCATCACCAAAAGAACATTCACTTTTCCAATCCCCTATAACTACTATTTTTACTATACACAAAAATACACCCAAATATTATCCTCCTGTTCGTCACCGTGACACTGTCGTGACATTTTTACCCATATATCCAGCTTCAGAATTCAGAAACCTCAACTTTTGCCACTCGAATCCGCGACCCAAAGAAAGATACAAAGCAAAAACAGAGAAAGGGCAATTTGGGCATTTTTGATACCAGGCCAGGTACTTAATCTTGCTTTGGGTGCTTTATATAATTCTGCTTTTTTTGTGTTAACTATTGTAATTAGGCGATTGATTGTTTTATTAATACCATTTCTAAGAGCACGTGACCGAGGAGACGGAGAGCTTGTAGCTGAAAGTGTTGGCGTACTGAAACGACACCGTGCCGCCGTTGGCGAGGGGCTTGCCGTCGTTGACGAGGCAGTCGTTGTAGCGGAGGCGCTTGAAGATCTTGGGGTTGACGAGGCGGGCGGAGCTGAACCAGCCGCAGGTGAGGTGGATGTGGGAGATGTCGCAGCCGGTGACGCACATGTTCATGATCTCGACGGTGTATGTGGGGATGCCACTTGGCAGCGGGGGTGTGGGGCCCTGGTTTATCACTATGTCCGCCTTGCTGCACTTGTCTCCCCGAATCCTGTTTGGTTCCTCCATTGCTGTCGCTGTAAAACAAGAGAGCGAATGATATGAATATATACGATTTAATATAGAAAAAATGAAAATGAGACCCAAAAATGATAAGGGTCTTTAATCATAACAAATTTCAAATAGTGAGAGGTTAAACACTAGAATGTTCGTTTAAGAGAAATTCTTGAGCACGACTGGATATGCCGCGTTACCATCTGCTCGTTCGAGTCCTAAACATTACAATATGCACATTTCCCAACTTATCAATAGGAGAATTTCTTGAGGGCAGGTAATTCTGTCACGGAACTTGTCCGCCCAACAGGACCTCTGTATTTGAGTCTCACAAGCGCTTATTTGGACGGATTCAAATACCAAGGAGTTCCGTTTACAAGTACTTTGGACGAACAAGAGACCGTGCCCGCAAGAATCTCTCTTCATGTAGGGTTGAGGAAAGCATTTGTAGACAAAAGACACTTTTTCTAGATGATTCACAGGAATTATACAAGAAAAGTTAATACACAGACAAATCAACCCAAAAGGCAAATGGAGATGGGACCTGTCAAGGCTTCTACTTTCAATGTATCACCTATTCATGTTTTGCTTTTCACCGATGGCTCATAGGCGTAGCCTTTTGTATTTGGCAAATTAGCATTCAAAAAAGAGCCAAGACTTTTGGTCAACACGCTGTTTCACTTCAGAGAAGGGCATTTTCCATGTGTCAACATTTACTTGCAGAAAAATAGAAAAAGACAAAATGCAAATGTCATTCATCATACATGCAGAATTGGCAGACAGCTAGGAAAGTGAAGTAGGGCTTATTTGTATGAGAAATGATTTCCAAATTTCTCTTTTTTCTTGTTTCAAGTCACATAATTAAATAAATAATTTACAAGTTAAAAAACAAGAGAAATGTTAACAAGATTCTTTAAAAGTGAAATTTTCTACAAACTTTTTGACACTTTGTAATTTAATTTCAATTCCCATGCTAAAAGTATAACGTGACAAAGAGTTCACGAAGAGTTCAACTTTTGAAAAAGCCTCTTTAACATTTCTTTAAAAACGAATAGGAAAGTGCGAGGGAACCCTATAGAGTGACCAAGAAATTATGGTCACTTGTTATCAAATCCAACAACGGATAACTATGTATTTGTAGTCACATGGTAATCAAGAGTATGAAACTCGTAATTTACATATAATGTTAACATAATATGCACATATTTCAAGAGACAAATTGTAGACATTAAAACAAGCCAATAGGGTTGTGCAATGTAACATAAAACAGTGTGTATTTCTTTGCAAAGACTTTGTTTCAAATTTGGTTACACCAAAAGAGGGAATGGTGACCTATTGGGATGTTTGAGATACCATTCAAAAGATACCCACATGGGACAGCATATACACCTAGAGCAGGGGGGTCAAAGAGCTAACGGTGCACGTTAGCATGCACCCCTTATGAGCTTGCAATTCTGACACCCATTTCCCACCCCTCTGACCAAAGAACGCCAGTTATTCACTTGCGAACAAATGGGTAACAAATTCTGGTTTGCCTCACCATCACCATTTTAGAAATACCAAAATTACAGAAAATTCAAATTAAATCATAAGGACTCGACCTAAAAACGGAATGCCTGCAAACGTCCTGATAAACTTATTTTGCAGGAGACCGGCTACATAAGATCAACTTACACACGCAGAGTCAAATTAAATAAAAAATAAAATTTATCTAGACGCTTCCATGCATTCAATTCTCGTTTCTATGGCTAATTCGAGAAACTAAATCAACTAATACGAATAATATTAATTAATCGGAAATTGATCACTTACCACGAACAAGCAGCTTGCGGTGGATTGCAGTGAGTGTGGAGTTTGCAGCTTCAGACGATTCAGGCTTCAAAAATCCATCTGCAAATAAAATTCGTAAACAAAATATCATCAAATTAAAAATAAAAATAAAAAATTATAGGGGAAAGTGTGAAAAATAACACGGAATTGGACAAGAAATTAAGTAATTAATTAATTAAAAATTAAAATTCAAAAGATGACAAACACATGGACCCCTTGTGTTTGCGAAAGAGGTACCAAGAACAAACAAAAAGCAACTCGATAAAAAAGCGGATTAAATTATAAAATTCATAAGCAATAATTAGATACAGGATTCAATGGGGAGAAAGAATCTAAGCACAAAAAAAGAAAAAGAAAAAAAGAAACAAATAACGGCGTGCGTCGCGTGAATCTTCGGCGGTAAGATCCAAACGACAAGTCGTCGTCCGTACACGTACCTCGGTCAAATCCAGGCGCGAACAGCAGCACCACTAAGGCCACGACTCCGAAGAGAAGCAGCGACGCCACGACCGCAACGACTCGCCGTTTCGTCATCGCGCGAGTGAGTCGAGTTGGAAACGAACTCGGTTCCGAGAGAGCGAGTGCTGAGCCGACGAACGAGTTACTGAGCAAGCTTCGAAGCTCTGCAGTGAAGAAATACTAGTGAGAGGGTGAAGGAACCGATGAATTTATATCACATCAAAAATCAGTCAAAAAAAACAATAGCCGTCGATTTAGAGAGAAAGAAGAGAGGAGAGAGAGGGCTGAGATTTGACTTGCATAAAGTGGGAAGGACTCACGGGGAGGACGACAGAGATAGAGAGGCTACACGCTAGGCTTTTTCTGTAGAATCAAAACAGGCAAAACGACGGCGGTTTGAAGTTTTGAGCGCCAGAGAGCTAGGTATTTCACAGAAGAGGAAACCGCGACTTTTTCCTCCGAATTGTCGAGGAAAACGATGCGTTTTGGTGCCGAATCGCTGCTGCGAGATACAATTGCGTGTGTGGGAAACTGTGGATTTTCCGGGAAAGTTTTATGCAGCGAAATTAGAGGAGAGAGAGAGAGAGAGAGAGAGAGAGAGAGAGAGAGGGGAGTTAGAGAGAGAAAACAAGCAGGCTGTAAATAGTGCTACAGAGAGGTACAAGGACACAGAGCACACAAAAATGGCAGACATTGTTGGCTGTGCAGAGAGAAAAGCTCCAAAAGCGAGACAGAAATGGCAGCACAAAATCGCAAAAAGGACTGAAATATCAGAACACAAAAATCCTCCAAAAGCCGATCGCATTTATTGTTTCTCTGCGAATCTCAAAACCTATACATATAAACAGAGTGAGTGTATCTATAGAATTAGACGACGTCGTACCTGCTCGGCGGATTAGGGTTTCGAGGACCGGGAAAGAGGAGGAAGACGAGGAGGGGAATGTGGTCAGTTGCTTGGTTTTGGAGGTGAGTGTTTATAAAGTGATTATTTAATTAATTAAATTGAATGATTATTAATTAATGAGGGATTAGAGCGCACGTGGGGGAGTTAATTGTTTTAACTAAGGGGAGAAATGAATGATTAGGTCATTTATCCGGTTTAGAGGGAGGGGGGAATGTTCTGGTACGGGTGGGGGGACCGGGAGGTCCGGGACCACACGGAGGACGTTTGGGCATTCTGCGATAACACGTGCGTGTGCCTGTCAAGATATATATATATATATATATATTTTTTTAATGATTAATGTTTTATTTTGTTTTTTTGCTGTTTTAGGACATGGACAAGGATAAATTGGTAGGAATGTTGCTAAAGATGGAGATGGATTATATTGTCATTTTCTGTTTGTTTTGGGTAAATAGATTTGGTCATTGCAAGTTTGATGGAGACCAATAATTCCAACATTGACAAGGTGAAACTTTTCACACACAAAAGAAGCAAGGTTGTGATGATGTGTAAACGTTAAGTCATTTCCATTCGAGAGTTTTATCCTATTTTTAGCAGTCGGAAATGATAAAACCAACCTCTAGCCGAAAGGCTAAAAGAAATCACGCTTTAGAAATCAAGGCACATTTAGCCCCAGGGCAGGCCATGCGTACCCAACCCGCCAGCCCTTGACTTATTTTTTTCCACGAGTCCCATTGGGTCGGCCGTACAAAAAGCGGCTCCAACACATTAGTAGTCCTTCATGTCTGAAGATGGTCTTAAGAATTGACATAATGAGTCTCTTAAATCCCACATTAAAATCCTACACCACGAAAATAATAATATCACACAACTAATAGGCAAGGAGTAAGCACGATTTGGTTCAGTTCGCTTTATTTCGGAACCAAAAACTAAATCGAATGATAAACCGGTTTGGTTCAATTTTGTAGGGATACATGGCATACCCCGAAAACTGAAGGCATGAGATAACCAATGAGGAGTCGCTTTTATCCCATACTCATTCCTTCTCATGCCCATTTTCTAATTCGTTGCGTAAAATTTGACATTTTCTAAATCAAAGCCCTCCAAACCCAATTCTTGGTATGCAAGGAAATTGACCCAATCAGAGACCGCAAAGACCCGTGTAATAGTGGATATGAAACCCAGTGTACTGTTTTTACTATATTTCAACATCGCATCCTACCGATTCAACCCAACACATACTGATGCTCATAGTTCATATTATCACTCTGATTTCTCTCTTTATACATGACACCATTTACGTCGCATAACTAGCGAGAAAGAAGGCCGGCGTGTTCCCCGACCGTCCAACAAATGGGTCCCAATCTACGTTTGAGTACTTCTGAAATTTGGGTCAACTACATTTCGCCAACTCCTAAAGATCACTACTGAATACAGTGGCGAGACCGCTATCTTTTGGATTTCAAGTTCCCGGACTTCTTCGCTTCCAGTTCCCTTACCTTTTCAAGCAATAATTGAATGGTACTGGATGCATCCTGCAAAAACAAGCAAAATAAGGGGGCGTGGGGGGAGTGAATCTTAAAAGGTAAAAGGTACAAACAAAGAAATTGCGCTGACCTGCAGCTTCTTTCTCAAAGTGGCCTCTTCATTGTCTCGTCGCTCCCTCTCCTCGGAGAATATGCGAATTAGAGTCTCTTGTTCCCTGCTCATTTCCTCAATTTTTTCTTGTGCCGTTTGGACCTGGTGATCACAAGAACAGGCAGTAATTGTCAAATTCTATCAAATATTCAAAGAGATCAATCGCTTGCTTATTAGATCGACTTCCCACTTTCTCCAACAATCTCAGCAGCGAGAATTAGATAATGGGCACATACCTGAGTTTCAAGTAACTTGGATCTATCCTTTTCACGCTGCAAGTCCTGCTCCAAATCAGCTGAAGTTGCTCTGTCCTTTTCCGCCTCCAACCTGTACAGAAGGAAAGAGTTGAGGACGATTCGCATCCAGCATGGTGATAAAGTACTGAAGCGAACATTAAGTCCATACGAATGTTTATATGGTGGTGAAAAGGACAGAACAAGTACCTTTGCTTCAGTTCACGATTCTCTTTTCTCAATTGCTCCAAAACGCCTGAATCACCATTGGCATCATTCCCCTGCTAATTGAGCAACACCCTAACTTTAGAAATATAACAACCCTCTAATGCAAAAAGTAATTTGAAGCAAAGTCAGTAGAAGTAACCTTTGACTTGGAACTTGGGGTGTGTAAACCGGTTCCTCCACGTGTTGAATAATCTTGCTGAGATTGAGTACCGTCCATACATGAAGATAACCGAGTCACCGGGATACCTTTTCCAGAGTATTTCTTAGCAGAAAATGCCTTACTACTACTGCCATTCACTTGTTTATTGGTAACATTGACTGCTGAAGGTGATGATGGTTCAGACGAGCTTGACGATCCTTCCCCTGATTTTGTGGGCGATTGCACTCTATTTGTGGCTTTATCAGACATGTGCACATTCACATGCCCATGATAAGTAGAAATATTTTTTGAAGCTTTAAAACGAAGCTTGCTGGAAACATTAACTGGTTTCTTGCTGCCTGATGTATTACCATTCGTTTCATAGGGAGGACCCTCTACAAATGAAAATATGAATATTTATGACTTTGTGAGGTTGACAAGGGTAAACCAAAAGAATGTATGGTACACAACATACCTTTATCTGCAGAGCCATTCTTATTCCGTGGAGCATAGCCGATTTTATGACAATTGTCTCTCCTACATAGGCAGTGGCGAACACCCGTTTGTGAGCATCAAAGATTAAAAACAACAAAGCAACTCATAAAAGTGAACGCATTGTAAGCAATTAACCCAAAGACCACAAACCAGTAAGTCTTTTGCATAGCTATTAATTTTCCCTCAAGTCTTTGAAGAACTGTTGTACGCTCAAACCCCTGCTTATCATGAGCTGGTTCAACAAAATTAGCTTCTAAAAGACCTACAAGAACAAAATGTCTCAGAAACAACTCACTTTCAGCTAATTAGTTAAAGTCAAGGAACTTGAATGAAGAAACAACACCTATAACACCACGGCCGTCACTTCCTGCAGCATTCCAAAGCCTCCAAAATGGCTGGAGATAAAAATGAACATCATAAATAAAATTTAAAATTTATCAACTTCTGCTTAATGACCGATGAAAATTCATTGCTTAAACAACATATTCAAAACAAACTCAAGAAATCCATAGGTTAAAACTAAAACACCTTAATCAGTCGATTCTTGTGATATACATTAAACCCTTGAACATCAATATGATGCTTTGCGTCCTTCACAAACCCAATGGTGACAACAGCAACCATCTGATGACAAGAGTTGCATGTAGTTAGAAAGACAACAAAATTATGCAAGATTTTCATAGTAAAAATTTGTAGTGAAATATTACATTTGAATCCTTTGTAACCCCATCAGCACCAGGCTGTGGCCGATATGTGACTTGCTGGGACATCATCATATCATTGACTATGTTGTGGTGCTCAACATCCTTCCCGCGAAGAATAATTCGAAAGTTATGAGGAATCCGCAAATAGAGAATTGATACATAGCTCTGGAGTCAAAATGAAGAAACGTATTAATAATAAATAATAGATGAACAGATAGACAGATTCTGTCTTCAAGTTGGACCAGGAACTATGACACAAATCATCTTCATCTGTCTTCATTTCATATTATCATCTCTCTTTGTTCTTTATCATTTTACCATATGTAGCAAAACCGTTGTATTTTACTCCAACTAGACAGTACAGCCAACCATGTAAATATCCAAAATAAGCAATGCACACAAAGAAAGCGACTAGCAGAAAGAAGAGGGAGGGGGGGGGGGGGAGCGGGGTTTTGACTTATTAAAGTTAAGATTAAATACATGAATTCCTCTGTTCTGATACAGAACCAAGACCCACCCAAACCACTGGAAATTTGATAAGTGAGCAAACAGAACGGTGAAGTTTAGTTTTACCCTCAATGAGTGCTGGTAGGTTAAGAAAAAACGAGAATTGGGATGGTCTTTTGCCATTTGTATACTCTTCTCGTCTCGATTGACACCTCGAATTTGAATATCCTGCAAAATATGCACCATATAAAATTTTGCTAGAATCACAACGCCACTTAAGTTAAAAAAATTAGGAGGCAAATATCTTGTCAACCAACATACATGTGGATCAGCTTCAAAATCAAGCTCCAGCTGTCCTTCATCATCCTCCCAAAGGTTGTAGATGATTATTCGGGTTCCATGGGTTTTCATCATATAGAACTAAACAAAAAATAAAATTAACAAAATTCATAACAAAATCTGTATCAAATTTACCAATTTGGTATAAGCTCTAAAACACAATTACCTGATGAAGCAGTTCTTCTTCATCAAAAAATGGGGACCATTGGATTATTGTTTCCAAATTTTTATCCCAATCAATTGACGAGGATCTTAACATTTTGTTCCAAGCCCCCTGTCCTCTCTCATAGTCAAGCTTTTCATTCATGTACACAACAAAACACATCATTTAGATGAAGGACCAGCTTGTGATTTTTATGCAACAATTTATTTTTTTCTTGTTTGTGGGATTTGGATAAGTTTGCTGAAAATCCAAAATGCAAGCATACAAGTAGTACTTCATTTAGGAAACGAATACATGTAATATACAAAAAAAATTGCATAGTAACATCTAACATTAATTAGAAAAAAGAATTAGTCATAAAAAAATGGTGTACTCGAACCTCCACCCCTAAATCCAAATAGTCCACCCTGTCAACATCCTACAACTTTCTTCTCTCCAAACACGCCAAATAAAACCTAGTGGATCAAATCATAATACAGACAAACAAAAAACTCAGCTAAGGTACTCAACACAACACCCTTTGTTGCACAGTTTTCTTCCTAAGGCAGTTAAAGACTGGTTTCATGAGTGATGCAAATCATCTAGGCCGACACCTAAGATTTACCCTCTTTTACTAGCATAATTTTTTTAGTTCCAATAAACGTTAAAGCCCAACCTTCCTCACCGATGTGACAACTGACAACTGTCTATACACATTGAATCAACATAAAGACTTGAAGAGAATATGTATAAATTCCAATAGGTAGAGGAAGACAATTTAAATGCCATACCATGGGAACTACAATATCTTCCTTTCCCGTGCTCGTCAAAAATGTGTAAGACAGCAATCCAATGCTCTGTGTAGCACTAAAAGCAATGTGAACATGTCTCAATTAGTTTCGAGAATAGAAAAAATAAATCTGTCCATTTTTTCCTATTCATAATAGATAATGAGAAGAGGCGACTGGGTACACCAATAGAAGTCGTAAATATGACCACACACACACACACACACACACACACACATTGGTGACAGTACTGATTTAACTGATACTACTTCAACAATGAACAAAAAGCATGGGGTATAATTCCACTATCCAAATTAGAGCAACAAGTAATACAATTTCTTAATAGTTCCAGATGATTAGTTGCACTCATTTTATTCAGTCACTCTTTATGATAAAGTGCATGTAAGTTAAGTTTGTATGGCTTCTCCATGCTAAAGTGGATTCAAGATATGAAAATAGAAATTCCTGCAACAATAATGGTTTCTGATCAGAAGCAACAGACAAATCTAAAATCTAGCGTTGATCCCATGAGCTGAAGAAAATAACCATTACCAACCCAACATGAAATGCTCTACAAAAGAAACAACGATAGACAATTGTGACCAGCAAGACACCTTTTTCCATCTTTTCCACTAGAACGAGAGAACACAATTACATCTGCTCCAAGCCTCATGGTACTTGTCTTAAAGCCATTTCCATCTGTATAAACAAGCAACTTACATGATTCTTTGGAGATTACAGAAAACCAAAAACACTATAGCTAAATACTGGTGTCATACATTGTCCAATAGTGTTTGCAACTTTGCTTTTCGCAGAATACCCCAACGACAGGCAATGTCGCATCTTATCTGGATCCATCCCACCACCATTATCTGCAATGTACATCAAATGAATTTCCGAACAAACAGAATATCAGAATTTGAGAACAAAATTAAAACATCTTAGCATTCTTCAAACGACATCCAACAATAAGGTTAAGTTGCTGGAGAACTAAGAAAGTTAAAATACCTTCAATCAGCAACATTCTGCTTCTGTCTTTCTTATTTTCAAGCATATCTATATTAACATATGTAGCACCACTGCAAACCTAACATTAAAGTGAAGAAATAACTCCAATCAATGATTAAATAGAAAACACATGTAGAAACATAACGGAAATATAGAACGAAAAACTACCTCGTCCAATGCGTTGTCTAAGAGCTCGGCGAAAGCTGTAAAACATCACAAGGTCACACTCAAGCATTAACCACCAAAGACATAAAATCAAGAACTACACAGAACATCTATTAAATTTACCTCCAAGGGCCCACTTATGGCTCGTAGCATTCGAATGCAGAAACTTTGGGTGAACCCGGACATGGTCTATCCCACCTGCATATTCAACAGTAAATTTGTTAAAGATAATATCCCTTGGTGCATGTTGCATGTTTTTCGCAGATGATATAGTGCTAATTGATGAAACGCAAGACACAGTAAATGCGAAGATTAGCCTTTGGTGGGAAGTGTTGAACTCTAAAGATCTTCACCTAAGTACGTCAATGACAGAGTATATGGAGTTTAGGTTCAGTGGGAATGGGGTCCAAATGAGATAGGGGTGAGGATTGAAGATCATGAAATACCAAAGATGAACACTTTCGCTATCTTGGAATGAAGAATTGGATGGAGATTTCAACCATAGAATACATAGAATACAAGTTAGATGGATGAAGGGAAAGAGCGCATCGAGTGTATTGTGCAACCTGCGTATGCCACTAAAGAGGGAAAATTTTATAGGATGCCAATAAGGCCAACAATGTTTTATGACATAGAATATTGGGCGGTTAAGTATCAACACGTGCAAAAAATGAGTGTAGCGGAGAAGAAAATGTTTTGTTGGATGTGTAGGCACATGAGAAATGATAGGATTAAGAACAATGATATCCGAGATAAAATAGGAATGACCATAAATGAAGATAAGATGAGAGAAAACAGATTAAGGTGGTTTGGACATATGAAACACAGAACTATAGATGCTCCGATTAGAAACTTCGATAATGTGATTATGAGGCACGCTTAGGAGAAAAAGGATAGAGGACCACCTAGATGACGTGGACAGAGACTTTAAGAAGAGACATGAAATAGTCAACAGAATAGTGCAAAACCGATCGCAATGATATTATAGGATTCATACATCCAATCACACTTAGTGGAAGCTGGCTTTGTTGTTGTTTTTGTTTGTATGATAGTCTGATCATGTTAGAATCTCCAAATTAGGCAACAGACTCCATTTGTAAACAGAATCCACTCATGCATGTGAAAAATGAATCTTTTCAATAGGTGAAGCAGTAAACTTCCATCACATTGCGTCCATAACTTGAAAAGATCGAAAATTTTCTCGGCAGCCGAACAGATCTTAGTAAAAACAAACACAAAGAAAACAATGTAGATATTTTGAAGAGCAAATAGAGAGTTTAAGATTACCGGCAGAAGAATCCCAATCGCCACAAGGAGCTCCTTCATAATCCCCGGCCTTCCAAAACTGCTTAAAGTGCGACCGACTCATCACCCCGCGCTCTTCCCTTCGCGCAACCGCCGCATCCGGCCCGGGAAGCAGCTGCCCCACCTCTTCCGGCGGCAGAGGCCTCAAAAACCCAACCGGAAATCTGACTCCCAGCCCGTCCAACTTCCTCTTCTTCGTCAAAACCCCCGAAGCTCCGCCGCCGCCGTCCACTGAATCGTCGGAGTCGGAGTCGCCGCTGCTGCTGTCGCTACTCGTGCTCAGGCAAATTACGGAATCCGGCGGCAACTTACAACTGACGCCGCTTCGCTTCGGCGTTGGAATATACGAAGCTTCCAGGAGCTCCTGCTTCACCCTCGCGTCCATGGCTTTGAAAACAAGAGATTCAAAAGACCGAATCAATTTTTTGTTAAATTCCGCTTTCTTTTCTTTTCCCTGCGGCTTTGAACTCTCAGAAACCAGAGCTTTCTTTTCTTTCTTTTTTCTTTTCTGGTTTAAACGCAATAAAATTTCCTCTACTCTGTAATATTCCTTCACTTATACGTGAGCGAGATGTATTAATTTTAAACCTATTATTATTAGCCCATTTTAAAGTTAAGCCCACCTTTTCTTTTTTAAGTTTTATGAGGAGGTTAGTAAGTTCAGTAATACTCATTTTCGTTATTAGCATAATATTTAATGATTTTTTTCAAGTCTCAAGTTCGGTTTTTAATATCAGATACGACACATAATTATGACTAATACATCATGCAGCTTGATTTGGCAAAAGCCTTCACTTTACCAACTTCGTTTGTTAAAAAGATGGGTTATGGTTAATAAAATAACTAATAAAATAAAATAAAATAGAAAACGGTGCTGTAGCTGCTGGAAAGTGAAACTACACTGCGAAGTGGATCTGATCTGTACTTTACTATTTCACCTTCTTATCAAATGAGTGGGTCCTACATTTGTTCTGCAATTATAGGTACCTCATCAATGCGAAGATGTTTTTTTGTTTTTGTTTTTGGAGTGTTGCTATTCTTATTATAATTTTATACTATATTTCTTTATCATCTTAAATAGTAGATGAATTAGACAAGTTACATCATTTAATTTCAATCTTTTTATTAATAAAAATACTTAAATAATCTTAGGTGAAAGAATGAGACTACTTGTATACCACAATCATCATTTAATTAACAATCTTTTTATTAATTATTGATTAACATTTTGATTAAATGCTAATTAATTTAGATGATGTGGCTCTCCAACTCATCTGCCATCTCAGATGGTAAAAAATGTGGTATAAAATTGTGGTAAGAATAGCATTATTGTTTTTTTTTTTTTTTTGTCATTTTGAAGGATTAAATATTAGATTAATTATTGATGGATTTGAACCTACGCTGTCATGCAAGAATTTAACATTTTCTCACCATTGTAGTAAATTGTAGTAAAGAGTTACTTGCATCAATGTGAAGATGTCGAAACAAAATAAATTGAGGAAAGAATTGGAAGTGTTTCCAAACCCAATGCTACTTCAAATAAAATGAAGTTTGATTCCTTTTTCTTCTTTTTAATGTTGAACACTTTTTTTTCTCAAATAACAAATTATACGGTACACTTATTGAATTATTGAAATAATGCTTGCAAAGATATGACGAGTGTAGTGTACTATGATTTATATGGACTTTTATTGAAATTTTAAAGTGATAAACTTTCGAGTTTAGTATACTTTTGCTTAGACCATCTCCAATATTTAGCTTAAAATCTAAAAATTTTAATCCAGACAATTTAGGTTATAACATAGAAATAGTTTTTTTGTTCCAACCATTCTGGATAAATTTTTAGCCCGAGATTATTGAAGAACGAATTTAGGATAATTTTTTTTACTTAAAGTAACATTTAAACAAAATTATGCAGACTATATTGATTTAATTTTATGAACATTTTTACCTAAAAATATATAGATTTCAATAAATAATGAAAAATCACTAAACCGTCACCATGAAACTCATGAAACACTATGAAAGAATATGAAAACACATGAAATATTATTATTTTTTAATTATTTTAGTTGAATTTAAATTTGGACCATTAGATCTTCTGTTTTACCGTTCAATTTGATCATATTAAATTTTAGCCATTGGATTCCATGAATCATATAAAACCTAAAAAAACATACACATATATCGTGGGCCAACCTACTAACCTAGATGGAATTCTCACAGATTTGCCCCAAAATTTGGCTCAAGGGTTGGAGCAAGTTAGGGTAGGTTTGGAACCTAAAATTTAAGGTTTACTTCAAGATTTGGAGTATGTCTTACTATTTTAAACTCCATAAAAGTTCATAGGTTTTTAATGATTTACTTTCGTGGAAAATAAAGAAGTTAAACGCCTAACCATATAAATGGTCTATGTGCAGTGAAAAAAATTAAGATTTAAACCTTAGTGGTGCCACTTAATATTACAATGTAGTGATATTCCTCTTTACTTGTAAGTAAGAGGTATTAGGTTCAATTCTCACCAAAGGCAAACTTAAACCACAGTCATTGCTAGCCCATTATGAGGTTTAATCCACTCTCCTATCCCCTTAACCTAGATAATATCGTTTGTTCAAAAAAAAAAAAAAAAAAAAAAAAAAAAAACCCTCCTGGTGTAATCGGTTTCATGGTATAATCTGTCAGCAAATTTAATCCAAAAATAATTTTTCCGTTAAATGCAAGTGGGGAGTTGAAGTTCACCTCTGATGGTTCGCTCAGTACGAGTTTCAAGGTTAGGTTATGCAATCCTCTCTGGCTCATCCTCAAGATCTGGTAACTTCTATCGCATACAAGACAATTGATTCCTTGTTATGTTATTCATTCATATGAATGTGGGATTTTCTGTCTAAAATTTCTAAATTACAATGAGTTCAACGTGAAATGGGATTTTTTTTTTTTAGAACTAAATGAATTAATTTAAAGAGAAATCTCGAGAACATTGGAGGCCTTTAGAGTCAAATAAAAGAGCATTTTTAGCTTTGAGGAGGGATCATCCAATTCCAAATACACTACCACTAACACGGTACCCTAAAGAAGTAATGGCATCCGTCGTGAAGTTTGCTTATCTGAAAACATGATTCCACTCTATTGATTTAAATGAGGAAGCAAGTTATTTGATATCTTCAACAATAGGTCTAATTCTCCAATTCCAAAAAAAAAAAAAAAAAAAAAAAAAAAAAAAAAGAAGATTATCGATTTCAAATCCATAATTCCCTAAACTTATATGTCGATTCAAAATTTTCAACAAATGAAAATGTCAAAATCATTAATTTCGAAATTTCAAAGTTCACATATTTACTTATATTCAGAAGTTTTTTAGTTTTCCTTTAGGGAACTGTTATTAGCACTCCAAAAATTTCATTTTACACTCCTCACTAATGTATTTTTTTTTCTAATTATAAAAAGTTTGGAGCATCAACGTTACCAAGCAACCCGAAGTCCAGAAAGGTACATAAAACAACACAACAACAAAAAAAAGACCATACAACAATAATCAAATTTGATGAAGACATAAATCAGAACAAAAGGCATAAGCAGTGATCATAAAAAGACAATTTCAAAGCTTTCCAGTAGCCCTACACGCATATGCATTTTAGTTTTATCAATACACTTTGATCATTTGCAGATGACGCTTTATCACAGTGGCGGAAAATAATAATACTTATACACTACTAGTTCCTTCCCCCCTAACATTTAACAATTTGCACTGTTGCATTTAACACTTTTAGCGACAAAGGACAATTCGTCGCGTAAAGCCTAATTGGGCAACTTATTTGGGGCTTTACATTTTGTCCGACAAACATGCGCGACGGATGCTTTTATGCGTCGCGCAAACTACTCTTGTGCGATGTATTGCTCTTCGTCGTATAAAATTTGTCGCGTAAATGAATTTTTCTACTAGTGTTGTTAATTTTTAATGTCAAACTTATATATTTTCATCATGAAAGCTTTACAAGATTACAAGACATATATATGATATTGGGATTGAGTGAGGGAGTGCATGGACTGCCTAGCAACACCCCTCAACCTTCTCCTCAAATCAAGCCCTAAAATAAGGGTATATATGGAGCACTAGTTACAAGGCACAATCACCCTAAATCAAGGAAAAAAAGGTAGTAATCACAACTCATCACAAAACAAGGTGATGAGGAGTGGTAACTACAACCTAATCTAACCTACTAACCTGTTAAATTTTCCAATACAGTTTAACTCACTAATGCTATTATTTATCGGGAAAAAAAAAAACACTTTTGTCATCTTTTTATTTTTTTATTTGTCTAGATGGTTTCATCTACTAAGGGTCAAAGACCAACTATCTCACCTTCTTCAAACCTCTCTATCTACATATTAGAGCTTCTCCATGAGAGGTAGCAAAGTTAGATTTGTTGTGTCACGTAAATTCTATTAGCAAATTAAAGAGTTTAGCAACTTACCTTGTATTTACAAGGTCAACTATTACTTCTTTAAGTTAGCAAATTGGGTCCTGCAACATATTTGATTCAAAGGTATTGTTTAGTAAAGAGTTTGAAAATAAAATTTGAGCCCCACAAGATAAAATAAAATTAAGATGTTAATATTGTAAATAATAATGCTAGAGAAACCAAATTCGTAAACTAAATGACATGAAAATTAATAATTGAATTATTACTTAACCATTTTTTTTTTCCCAGGACCACAAGCCAATCATGATGGACTGAATCGAAAATCCATCAAATATCTGCAAATAGTTATTTTTTCTGTTTAACATCTCATCTAATCCCAGGACCACAAGCCAATCATGAGGGACTGAATCGAAAATCCATCAAATATCTGCAAATAGTTATTTTTTCTGTTTAACATCTCATCTAATATACATAACCATAATTTAGTTTCCATCAGTCGTTGGGGGGCTTGAGCCCAATGCCAAGGCTATTAATAATTAATTTTTTTGGTCAAAATATTGATAACTAATTAGTTCTGCATTGTTCTATTTTTGGATAAGAGTTCTTCATTGCTTTAGTCATGCAGTGGGCTCTGCACTTTAAATAAATTCATAGAACCTCCCAATATTCCTGAGAACGTTCAAGTTTGGAACCGTTTACACAATCCTCTTCTTTAAAATACAAACATGCATATGATTCTTGTGCTAGAAAGGGATCGTTTAACAATATTTGTATGTGTGTGTGTCTGTGTGTGTCTATATATATATATATATATTCAGAAAAATATGCCATTGGAGTTTTCTGGATAAATATATATTAAGGATGGAAAACGTCATCGAATGATCTTTTATTTTTCAGTGGAGTCTCCATCGCAACCAAAAAGTTCAATCATATATATAAAGTTTGGAGAAAAACAACTCTCGAGGTGAAGTAGGAGTTACTCCAATTGAAGATATGATGAGGAAAAATCGGTTAAAATGATTTTACGTGTGAACTGAAGACCTACATATGTTCTGGTTAAAGGATATGATTAATACAAAGGCTCGGTGAATAGATGAAGACCTATGAAGACTT